CTTTCTGGCAAGCGAAACCTTTTTTATCCGAAAGACTTTTAGTCAAATGAATAATATATAGAGTGTCCCGGAATAAGTTGGCAATCTAAAAAATCTGAACCCGAGGGATTTCTCATTTGTTCTGGGACACTCTCATATATCTACAAATATAAAATATGAACTCAACATTAATCAATCACGTATCACGACGTTCATAAATCTTTTTAAACAGGTTTTTGGATGTTTTTCTTATACAGTTATTAAACAAAGCCAAATTGATGCCAAGTATACACTACGATAAAAAAAAATTGTTTGTTGTGCCTGTTGGTAAGTATTTTCCACATTTTTCAAGAGCCCTTGATTCGATCTATCAACAGAAATGTACCGCACTATGCCTAATCGCTAGTGCATTGGTTCAATTTATAAAGCTACACATTTTCCTAAATATGATTATAGTTTTGGTTTGTTTCAGAGGATTACTCTACAATGGCAAGAACAATATGCAAGCTTGGGGCCTCATTGTGCTGCTGATTTCCAAAGCTGCCGGACATTCTGCAGATATTCCTGACATGGAACAAGACAAGGCAGCAGGTACTTAATTTATCTTTTAAATATTCCGTGTGCATATTAGGATTTATTCCAGAATTTCAATAGTGGGTGTTTTTTTTTGTCGTGTTTAACTGAATGTTGAGTTGTTTATTGTCACTTAACTTGCTCCCTGGAAGCGTTTACTTAGATCTATTGATAGATTGCTTTAAATTGCAATTTACCACTCGGAAATTCCTAGTTAATTGTTTGACAAAAATTGTTTTCAGAAGCTTAGCATTTAGTTTTATAAAACAATTCTTGCGACCGCTAGACGGTAAAACTAAGCTCCATTCCACTTTCTTTGACTTCAGGTGTTCTACATAGCCAGAGGGCACTAGCTGAAGTAACAGAAATGATCAGAACAAGTCACTTGGTGCATAAAGGCTTGGTTAATTTGCAGCCACCAAATAATGTAGACGCAAGCGGCGATATGATGTTTGGAAATAAAATCGCTCTACTAAGTGGCGACTATTTACTAAGTAATAGGTATCTATCGCATTAAACCATTTAATGCATTTTAACCGAGCCTCCTTTATTGCACATTACAGCAGTATAGAATTGGCCAACCTCAGAAACCAGGAGTTAGTAGAACTGATGAGTTCGGCAGTGAGAGATCTAACGGAGGCCGAGTTTGTTGGGCCCCGAGACCGACAGAATAATCCGTTGCCGGCCAAACCAAAAGCGAAACAAGTGGAGTACAAACAGTTTATAGAAAATAATTTGGAGCCACTAATTGTGAGTGAGGCGTTAGGAAATGCGCAGGCTGAGTGGACGTTGAGGAACGTTTTAAATGCTGGTAAGTTGTTTTAAGTACCAACTGCCAAGATTACTACTGGAAACGTTACTTCTTTAGGTTCGCTCCTTGGAAAATCTTGTCAAGGTACATTGAAACTAGCGGGTCATTCGGAGGACCTACAAGAAAAGGGTTATCTATTCGGAAAACATTTAGCCTTAGCCTGGCAGGCATGTCTAGATAGGGAACCCTTTCAACCTGGTAAGAGATTAGTTTTTTGTCTGATCAGTTTTTATATCCAAGATCAAGTTATTCAACACAAATGTTGTAGCTTTAATTTGCTTCTTATTACAGGCTCCAGTGGGTCTTTCAGTCTGGTTTGCGCTCCTCTGATGTTCACTCTACAAAATAAACCGGAACTTTACGAACATATTGAGAAAGGACTCGAAAACGTCGACGAGGTCGACTATGATCTGCTTAGGGCGGAGGTAAGTATCTACTTTTTTGATCAATTTTACTCCGATACCAATAAAATGTTATTTTTTCGAATAAAATCGGTTAATGCTCAAGTACTATTACGCGCCTATTGACAAACAAATTGCAAACATTTTTCATAAAAGTATTTTTAAACAAACTAACAAAACAGTTAAATATCAGTGCATTTGTTTTTCGATTCTTTGCAATATTTTGTCATTCACTGAGTTTCTATGAACTGTTGAACTATCATTCTCTTCGCTGCGATTTGATGTTGCTACACTCCAAGAATATGATTTGTAGGTTTTGGAAGGGCCAGGGTTAGAACTAACAAAAAAACTTCAAAAGGAACATTCGCAGGCAGCACTCAAAGTACTGAACGAACTTCCAGCTTCAGATGCAAGGACAGCCTTGGCTAATATTATTGCTGCCGTGCAAGAATCGTAGACCTCCGGTAAGTTTTACCGCATTTATCTCAAACCAAGTAAATGATTGCGATATTTCGTTTTTTTTTTTAGTTTTGCACTGCATCTTTTTTTAGTTTTGTTTGCGGGAATGTTGGGATTTGAGCGTTTATTTGAAAAGTTTTATCCGGCGTAACTTCGTCACCAAACTATTTACTGTGATAAGTGCTTTTACCATATTTTATAGCAATGTTCCTAGCTTTTTTGGCATTGCATTGTAAATTTTTAATTATTTAAGTGATACCAGAATAAATGCATACATTTTTTATTCGTGGGAATGGGAGAAATAAATATATTTTTGTACATTTTACATATGCATATACAATAAAAATTAATTGTGTCTTGGGTGGATTTTAGATAATACTTTAGGATAGGAACAATTCAGAAGCAACCTGTTATGGCCAAATCAAAAACTTATTAATTTCTGATAAAACATTTGAAATTTATACTTAAAATGGCTTTGTCCAATATTTATTGCACATATCACAGTGTAAAGATTGGAAAATAACAAACTCGTATTGTACACATTTCAGATTATCAGTACTCAAAATTTACAGTTACAATGAACATTATAAAACCTTTAATATATTTACTAAAGCTCGTTTTGCGTCCGTTGCTCGGAATTCGTCTAATATATCAAAACAGTTCTTTACAAAATTTTGCTTTAATTGGCGAGTCATTTCAAGCCCAGGTCCCGATTGCACCAATTCCCTTATCCTATCATAGTCACAGTTCCGTACGTCTTCAGAGCCTTTTAGAATTTCTGCGTAGAAATCAGGATCATGTTGTAAATGGAACAAGATCGGAGCTAAAATTATGGATCTGTAAAGATTTTCGATTTCGATTCACTCGGCTGAGTTTTTATTAATTACCCGATATCAGATCAAATGGTTTTTTGCACCCTTCCTCGAAACATTCCAAGTCGAAATACGCTTGCCATCCTAGAGCCATGTTTCTTCCAAATAGGTATCCCAGTTTTTGAAATTCCTCAGGATGATTAGCTAATTTTAAAGCAGCTTGGCAACTTTTTGCTAACAAGCTACCACTTCCTGAAATTTGAATTACGATTTTTCTAGAATTGCAGTGAGTCTGTACTTCGTGTAATTATTGTACCTAAAAAGTGTCTAAGAGTCCATTCGGCTTTGGCATTTCCAAGAACTTCCTTCACTTTTAACGGAGCAGTTCCAAATTCATTAGGAATTATTATTTCGGATGACTCCTCGAGCGGTTTAGCCGGTAAAGGTCTGTTTTGWTTATCTCGRGGGCCTATAAATTCGGCYTCCACTAAATCCCTTAAACACATAGATACCAATTCGTTTACTTCTTGGTTTTTGAGTCCTGCTAATTCTTTAAAACTGTTGCTAAGTAAATAATCMCCTAAAATTATATATTAAGTTAGATARCACGGYTATATTAGTTGCAAAGCTGAAGATACCTGTCAGCAAGCTCAGAGTATTTCCAAAGTTCAGATCTGAGTATTCTTCTACATCGTTAGTGTTAATATTTAAGACACTGTTATGCAGAATATTACTGGTTCTGATCATTTCAGTAACTTCTGCAAGCACTCTTTGACTATGTAAAATTCCTGTAAACCACTTCAGTTTATCGCGGTTATTCATTACGATTATTAGAAATGAAAAGTGACTTTTATTTCGTGAAGAAACTTTTCAGATTATACAGGGTGAGTTTTATTCGATGACCAGTACAGGGATCTTAGAATGGGCAAATAATTGTAGTTTTGAATGTTCTACTCGAAACCAATTTAATTTTTCTAAAATTTGACAGCTGTCAAAAGATTTGGGAAAAACTTATTTATGGTAAATTTTTAAATTACTCCTAGTTGCGTTGATATTAATTTGACAGGAAAACATTCAATAGAAAACTTGTAGGAAATTGAATTTCAAATAAAATGGCATAAGACATTTCTCCAAAATCACTGTCATTTCTGACATATGACAGAAATTTGCGTTTTTTTAAATGGCAACCATACTTGATTATTGCTTTACCGAATAGAGCATTTTATTACGATTTCTGTGATATATCACATCGTTACGATTTTTTGAAAAATAAAGTGTCTGCGAACAATTTATACTTTTTGTTAATTAACATAACATTGTTTCCATAGCAACAAATAATGACATCTTTCAATTATTGACATTCAAGTTCAAATTCAACTTAGAAATCTAAGTTAGTTTCATTGTAAAAATGAATCATCCCAATCAAGAAATGCGCTACATGATTGAAACCTACATTAGATGTGATAAAAATGCTAGACGATCCTCTGATTACTATTTTGAGATGTATTTTGACCCTCGTCAACCGTGAAAATTTGGGCACTTATGGAAGTTTTACGCAGCCAAGAAATAAAGATAAAGTAATACATGAAGCTGTGGAGATTAATGTCTTGACCATTGTAAGCCAGAATCCACATATTTCAACCAGAGAGATAGCAGCAGAATTCAGGACTTCCCGAAGCACCGTGATGAGAGTTTTAAAAAAATACAAATTCCATCCGTATAAATTATTAGTATCCTAAACTTCACATACTGAGGCATCCAATTSACTTAGATAATATTGTGGACCGATGAAACTCGATTTACAAAGTGTGGTATGTTTAATTGACACAATGAACATCTTTGGAATCAAAAAGATCCCCACCACGTTGAGCAAAGGAGACCACAATTTAAATTTGGGTTTATCCTTTGGAGCG